CTGCTACGAATCGTTTCCACGACGTAAAGCGCTTAAATATTTGTTCATATTTGCAATTTCCAAATTTTATTCTAAGTGGCATTTCCGGCTGTTTAGGGGTGTCATTAAAAAAAATGTTTCTACCTAAGCCCCAACCATGGTGAGGCTGAGGTGATATCGACCTTCCATCTTTGAAGGTTCCTCCCTGGCCCTCTCATCTTTTGGACTGCAACCGAAGCAGAAAACTTGAATTTGAAACAGCAGAGTATGCAAATTAACTACAGACAAGCTTTTGCTTGAACCAACAAAACATAAATAGGATGAAAATTCAAATGATGTACATTGTACCACAAAAATGGATGTCAAAACTAGAGCTGCAGAAACAGCGCAAATAGAGGCTGCACAGACAGTCAATTTAGCTGTAAAGACAGCAAAAGACAGGGTTGCAGAGACCACCCTATCTAGACCTCGTGACGAAGATGGATTGAGCGTATTTAGAGGGAATTTTTAGAGTGATTCCACTGGTTAGGTGGACAAAATGGAGGGTGTACTTGAACAATTTGATGCGGAGCTTCATGGTCCAGAAATTACAGAGGAGCGTGCCAAAACAAATAATGATAAATTCTCAGTAGATTTAGGTTTTAATAAAAGAAAAGAAGTTTTAAAATATCACAAAATTCCGAAAAACTGTGGAGAGTTGTTTTTCCCTAAAGTAAATGCTCAAGGGGTAAGCTGAAATGTTTTCACAAGACAGTACTACTTCATGACAGCAATAAACGTGTGGTGGGTACTCTTGTCCGGACCTTAGATGACATATTTAAGGTGAATAAAACTACGCTCAATACTAAGAGCATGGCGTCAAACTTGCTGGAGTCGCTGGCTTCCCATGAATTTTCCATTAAAAGGTGAGATACACTTAAGACGTTATTAAGCAATTATTAAAAAATCAACATGCTCTAATGCGAATAAGCCTGGAAAGACTGCAGGGTTAAGGCAGCAGAGCCTGCATATGACATTACTAGATACCATCCCAAAGACGAATGCAGCATTTTTTTACCGTACAAGAGGGGTGAATACTCAAAGAGCCACCTCTCATTACAAGAGCCAAATCCATCAATTCCGGGGACACAGGCAGTACCAAGGCAAATTTACCAAGAAAGGAAAAGGACCAAAACAACAGGTGAGCATATTTAATTGGTGGGCTACTATTAGTATACTATATTAAAATATAATTTTGCCAAAACATGATTTTCTCAGATGCATCAGAGGAAGGATGTAGAGGAACTTTAGGGGATGAGAAATTTGGCGGCAGATGGTTTGAGAAAAATAAAATTGTTACAATATTAATCACCTGGAATTACTGGATGCTTTTTTGAGCTTTAAATTCATTTAAGGAGAAAATTAAAAATATGAGAATTGGAGTTATAATATTACCGCCCTGGCCTACATAAATCATAGGGGAGTCCGTAAGCCAGAGTTAGAATTAGCACATAACATTTGGAAATGATGTATCACATTTAATTTAAACATAGTGGCAACTCATGTAAAGGATATACAGAACACAATTGTAGACTATGAGTGCAGACAATTCAATGACCGTTGTGAATGGTCACTAAATAAGTAGATTTTCAATACCATATTTGCAAAATTGGGCAAAGAAGGCATTGACTTATTTGCTTGACCTAGTTGTTTCCCATTTAAATGCTAAATGTAACAAATATATTGCGTGGAATAGAAATTTGGATGTGGAGTTTATTGATGCATTTTCTCAAAAATGGTGTAGTTTTATTTTTACAGTAGGCCTATGTATTTTCACTCCGTTTAGCATAATCGCATGAGTTAAACAGAAAATACGCAGCGAAGAGGCAGAAACAGTGGTACCGTAGTTACTGTATTGCATTTTGGCCGACTCAACCTTGGTTCACGATCTGGGTAGACGTATTTGTAGACAATCCGATTATATTACCGAAGTCAAGCTCCCTACTGACGCTGAAATACGACAAGAAGAGGTTGCATTCTTTACAAAAAAGTTAAAATTGATACCAGCAAGATTTTTGGGAAAGCGTATAGTAAGCGACAACTTTCTTAGAGGACTGCCAATTTTCTCCTCCGATCATGGAAATCAGGAACACAAAGCAGTATTCAGTGTACATCTGAAAATGGCATGAATTTTGTAACCGACGGGCAATTATTATGTTGGACCACCTATAAAATTAGTTTTATAATTTTGAACAATGTTTTAGATCAGGGTGAGTGTAGATCGGGTTTGAAGCAAAGTAGGCGAGGTTATACACCTCCGCCGATCCACCTTAAAGAATGTCCAGATGATAAGGCGCTAAGCATATATGTAGCATTATTATAAGTGTATTTGGAAAGTACAAAAGTTCTTCGATGTGAAGAGACAAAACTTTTTATAAGTTATATAAAACCTCATTGAGATGTTTAGTTCATGCACTACAAGTAAATGGATAAAAAGAGTGATGTTTAAATCTGGAATTGATACAAATGATTTTAAATCCCATAGTATTCGAGCTTCCCGTAGAGGAGCAATAACTTGATGTGGTTGGACTTGGTAATAGGTTCGTGTTATGATGGTTGAGCCTATTTCAAATTACTAATGATTACAAATTTCCTTTTCTATTTAGTGGGGGAGGGGGGATTATTTCATTTTATGTAAGTTTCAATTAGTTGTAGCTCATCTTAATCATAAATCAGCAAATTTTATGAGCAAAGAGTTTAGATGGCGAGACGTTTGTTTTAGAGTTTAATGGTTTAGTTTTATTGTTTAGGCGGCCAAAAATGGAAGTAGAATGAAAAAAGTTAATGGTAGGAAGTTCACATATTAAAGAATTATCTATGCCTAGAGAAATCATAATAATCTTAAAGAAATGATGATACAATTATACATAGATTGTATTCAGAAGTCAGCGTAACTGATACATACAATCTCGTATCATAGAAGCGAGAATAAGATTCGTTGCTAATCTAGGGCTACATTTGTTAAATTGTTAGATAACATATTATCAACATACAGTAAATTTAGATATGATAGAGGATAATTAATATGAGAAGTAAGGCTAGAATTTAGAATTATGTGCCTGATTAAGCCCAGCGGTTTATCTTTAAAACCTTGAGATATAATGTATAAATACTTTAAAAACTTAAAACAGTATAGTTTGAAACTCTAGTAAAGCTGGCGCACGGCAGTTAGGTGGTCATGCTTGAGTAATTACCTAATTAGTATATCTGTTGATTATAACTAGGGCTATAGATAAATTTTACAAGCTTTGTTCATAATACAACACCAATTAAATTCTGCAGCTCGCCTTATTAAACAAATTCCTAAAAGACATCACATTACCCATATACTCAGATCACTGCACTGGCTTCCAGTACGACAGCGTATTGTATTTTAAATTATTGTCTTTACTTACAAAACGCTTCATATTTCTCGTCATTTTACCTTAAGGAACTTATTCAGCTCCGGTCAACATCATGCAGTAGAACACTTTAGATCTAGTAGAGTCATTTTCATGAGATCCGTGACTAATTTTAGGATACCTTTTTTTCTCGATGGATTTGGCAAGATGGACCAATTTAGATAAAATATAGCTCCTATATACCTCTCAGATATTGGGGGAAAGTCGCGTTTGAGGGCGTTTTTCAAAATGGCCGCCTGTTGATGTGGACGCTTGTATCTCGATAGCCACTGGTCAGAGAGACTTGATTTTAGTCTCAAATTGTTCACAATATGCACGTTCCTATTTGTTGTAATACAACTTTTTATCAAAAAATGGCTAGAAATGCGGTTTTTGAAAGTTTGACCTTTGACTTTGTAATGTCGTATCCCGGTAACTACTGGTCATACAGACTCACAATTGATTGCAAATTGTTCAGGAGATTCATGTTTATATTCGTCCTAATGAAACAAATATTCAAATTGTGACCGGAAACGATACATTCTGACATTTGACCTATTGAAGGGTCATTCCATGTCAAATCAACCAGATTAAAAAAGAAACTCCTGTATGTCCGTCTCAGATTTTGATGAAACTCCATAAAAATGATCCACTGTATGCTAAACTAACAAAAAAAAATTAGCCTCATAGGATATGTAGTTTTCGAGATATTGACTCCTCAAAAGTATGGGGCGTGGTTCTTCAAGGTGTGCAAACGCAATTTACTTCAACTTTGGAAGCTTATAACTCGAGATTGGTAATAGCTATCAGGGTCAAACTTTCGGTTTAGCATATAGTGGATCATTTTTGTGGATTTTTTTTTAATCTGGTTGATTTGATATGTATATCATCCTCCCTTTGGGGAAGTTGGAAGGGTTACCCTCTTTTAATATTGTGGAAATAAAAACAAAAAGTGTTGCTGGAGGCCAGGGAGCCGACAAGGGACCACGGTGGGGGCTCAGAAGTAAAAAAAAAACCATGGAAGCTACTGGTATTCGACAGGTTTTGGTAAATTTTATGAGTTATTTGATAGGCGTAAGGTTACTATAATTATGACTTCATAACTGTTGTAATGTCCAAACAAAAGTCGAAAGTTCTTTCACTTATGATCACAATGAATTCCGAACTTCATGAGTGTAGTTTTATTAATGATGAACTATCATGAGGCCTGGTCGACCTGCCTTTGTTTTTGGACTGAATCATCATTGCTAATTTACGAATAATACAAAATAAAGTGTTTACATATATCTTTGCTGACCGGCATACAAATAACGCCCTTGTATAGGCCTAGTATGAGTGACTGCTCTAATGTTCACATGAACAATGAAGTTAGGCCTTTCTAGTAACACACTTGGTTTGACGGTAATTTTAATAGCATTCATGCCTTGTTAGTCCGACATAATTGTTTGTGTCATACGTTTCATGCACACATGCCTATTACCTAAACATAACTAACCTGAACACCACCTACGCTACGCCACTGATAGAAACTTAAATATCCTCTCGTGAGTGTGACAACTATTGTGCCAACGGTAACTGAACGATATAAATTTGACTTTTTACCTGGTTCTTCAACTCTAAGTGTTGTCCTGTTCGATAGATTGTTATATCGACATACGATCAGATGATAACCTTTGTTGACGTTTGTTTTCATGTATTCCTCTTCAGCAGTCAATACTGAACCAGTATACCAGTCAGTCCAATTAGTTGCAACGAGTTGATTATGTGTTTCATTCCTAAATTTACATTTCACCGTGACATCACTTCCAACATAGAACTTCTCGTCTTTAGGGTAAATATATAGTCCTAACGTATTTCATGAAAAACAAAGTAAGCATTGCTACCGTTAATAGTCCCATTGCATATAACTGATATTTTTTAAACTAATTGTTTTATCGTTAATCGAGATTCCCTGTGATATTTATATTTCTTATTTCATAATGTCACATCATAAATTGTCATATCTCAAATCATATATATATATATATATATATATATATATATATATAATGTATAATATCATATATCCTATACCAAGGTTATTGTATTGTAATATATATAATTCACTATGTTGCTTTGCATTACATCACATCATATATTATATTCATTATGGTGCACTTTTTAAATACCACGATATGTTTAAAAATGTGTAAACAGTAAGGCGTCTGCATACACAGCAGAAGGAGTCGTGTTCAAATTCCGATTTTAGCAAATTTGTTTTAATTGCAGATTTTTCTTCTTTAACTTTTAAAAATGTAATATTTAATTATAACATTAGAGCAAGACGGTTTATTATGTTACACGTGAAGATATATATATATATATATATATATATATATATATATATATAATATAAAATAACAATAATAATAATAATAATAAATAATTAATAATACTTCAATAATACTTCAATAGGCCTATTTACGATAGTGTAATTAATGAGATAATTGTTGATTATCTCAATTGATATAGAAATATAATAGGTAGGCCTATATACCATTAATAATGATTCAGCATATTAAATCAACAATACGTCGTAAATGTAAAATTTGTTTGGTTTTTTTTTCAATAAAATTTTACCTATTTTATTC